CAAATCCCCCGAAGTTCCCTAATTTATCGTTTTCTTTCGCTGATTCAGCGTTGACGACAGAGGGTAGGTGACTCCCCCTCAGTGTCCTCAATCCTCATAATAACCTCCTCATTGGCTCTCATGGGTGGTTGTGGGCGGACCCCTTGCGTCTTATTGCTGCGTAAGCAGTCTCTTACGATTAAATCCAGTGAACGAGTGAGGTAAGCTATTGCTCTGCGATTACAGAGACCTGCTGTGCAGTCACATTCTTAACCTAATTGCCAGTCCTGGTGTTTACAATTTACGGCAATAGCTGCGAAACTCTTTTCGCAAGTCTCTAGCTTTTGGGTAATACCATACCCTCTTCAATCACAAATTTGGGCCATAACAGTCAATAAGTATGTAATTTAGCTAATTATGACCCCTGCAAACTACAGAGACCTAGAAGCTTTGGATGTTATTGTATGGGAATTGTTAATGTATATTGTTATATTTCAGTGGACCTGTGTAGTTATTATTATAGAAATATTTGCATTGCAAAAATGTTGCTGTCTATATTCATCCACAATTGTGAAATGACATCCCTCATGCTATTTTTGTGGAGTTAAAAGAGATCAGATGGAGTTGCAGTTGTTTCTTAGTTTAATACAATTCTGTTTGAAAATGACCTTTATATAATTTCACCTTGTTTATATTGGTGTGAAACGTGCTCTCTTGCTTTGGGAGAAGAAAATAAATTATGATTTTTATAACAGAGTACTAAGACCTGAGAAGGATGAAGTAAATAGGAAGTTTTCAATATTACATATTAAGGAACTGTATTTATGCAACCTGTCAACCATTTTTAAGCTTGTAAACCTCTGGAGGCTGCAGTCAGGTGGGCATATAGTTAGGATTAATATGGATAATGAATGGACACAGTTTAATTTAATGGGGATATCTCTTGGAAAATCATTAGAAGAAGATGGGAGAATGATGTTAGGATGGATTTTAGGAAATTCAAGGTGGAAGAAACTGCATTGGGATCTTGTATGATGGTGAAAATTTGTGTTTGCAGTGTTGAATTTTCAGGTACTGTTACCAGAGTGTTGGTTAATTAACTAGCTAGTTATATTAGCTTATTTGTATGCTGAGAGGACAGAAGTCGAAAAGAGATTTAGCAGCAAGGGTCATATTTATATTTGGTTGGCAAGGTACGGAATACTGATTATGTGAAATGGAACAGTAAGACATGTAGGGAAATTACTGTTGCTCTGGGGCTCAGTTCTGCATTACAGAAGACCTTCCCAAGATAAGAGCCCAAGGAAAAGGCTCGTAAGGTGAATAAGGAGAGTTGGGTGGGACATGTGGTGTACATGGGAAGAATAGAAGCACACCCAAAATTGTGGTGTGAAAACCTTAAAGTAAAGGTTGTTTGAGTCACCTGCCTATAGATGGAGGGATCTGTAATGACTGAAGTGTATTGTCTTCTGGGATGTGACACTGTGTAGTCTGGTAGAAGTTTCTCAGTATTTCAGAGTAATATATGACCTCCATCTTCAGGGTTGGAAGGTAAGCTGAACAAACAACCAGCAAGGAGCAAGCAGTAGGCAGTGCAGGATGCATGACTTGCTCTGCTTGCTCCTTCCTTGGCTTACTCTTTGACCCTGCAGAAAATATGTTCCTCTGATATGTTGATAAATTTCTACCAGATAACAGAGTGTCGCATCCAAGATGATAGTATCCTTGTTAGTTACCACTGTGAGAACCTTAAATCCAGCATCTATAGTCGTTATTGAAGAGAATTTTATTATATTCGAATGTTTAACTTATTGTCTAGGCTGGAACTGCACCTGCTGCAGTAGATGAGGAAGGAAAAGACATCAATCCTCATATTCCACAATATATATCTTCAGCTCCTTGGTACTTTGGTGCTAAAGGTCCCACCCTAAAACATCAACGACCACAACCAGAGAAAGAGAAAACATTCTCAAAACTAGACGAGTGGTACAGAAGAGGAGTAGATACAGTGAGTAACTTCATCCTGTTGGTAGCAATGATTTTGATTTATCTGTGATTAATTTTGTAGTAAGGTATTAATGCTGTTAGTCCTTATTTTTTTCCTTTTGGTTTTGGTATTTTATAAGTTGAATGTTTCTTTGTGTGTTGATCTTGGACCCTGCTATACACAAGTAGAAGTGACCCTTATTCTTAATTGCATTTTAATTAATACACAAATTCTGTTCTGGGGAGGATAGATGCACAGTTTCAAGAAATTTGTTACTAAGCAGTTTAATGGAAGAATGTTGAGCATTTTGTTTTTCCTTTTCTGTAGACCTCTGTTGCAGTAAAATATAGGAAGGGAGCTTGTGAGAACTGTGGCGCAATGACACATAAGAAGAAAGACTGCATGGAGAGACCACGGAAAGTGGGTGCTAAATATACTGGTGAGTGTTCCACACATGCAAGCATGTTTGTATCGGTGTACATGAGTGGCTAGTTTTTATTTAAAAGATAAACTTGTTATGTCACTTATTGACAAATAGATTGATCTACAGGCTGCAAAATTAGCCTGACAGTAACAAAGAATAATTCATTCAGTCGAAGAACAAGGGAATGGGGCGAGAGTGATTCATCATCATTGTCCACACTAGCTCCAGTGTCCATCCAGCCTCCTGTCCAGTTGGTGCCAGGGTTTTTTTTCTCTAGAACCAAAGTGGCCAGGTCATGCATCTGATCATGTGCCTTCATCTGGTGCTGAGGTTAAGAATGCATGGAGCTATGCCACCACTGCTCCATGTGTTTTCATGTCTGCTGCTTGGTGTACCAGAGCGTTTAAATGAATTTAAATAATGTGAGGTGACTGGACTATAAATCCACAGAATTAGGCATGCTAAGAGTCAAATGACTAGCTTCTTCAAGTTTAACCCTTCAGGAATGCAGGACATTGAATTCCTACTCACTCCTTGGGATGGAGGGTACTTAAACATTTAAAGCGGTAAATGAAACATTTCACTTAAAGTGTAATAAATTGTGAAAAACTGGAGTTTTGTTTCTCTAATCTCACACTACAATTATAAATGTATATAGAATCGGTGTATTGATGCACACTGCTTTAAAATTATTTTTTTTTTGGCACAGTAAGCCTATAAAAATTGGGAATAATAGTATCACATTACCTTAGAAATTCAGCTGGGTGGGTTAGTTGTGAAAACATTCCACACAAGAGTCCCACATCACAAGTGTCATACCAGTTCACAGTTTTTGACACACAACACGCCATTTCTGTGGTTTTGATTTCTTCACAGTTGGTGGAATCTTGCTTATAAAATTTCTTTCTCTTAGATGGAGCACTGTTTGTCTGACAATTGTCGACCCAACACTTTGTGTTCTACAGCATTAGCATATTTCACAGAGAATCACTCAGTCAACTGAATTCTGATTGACAGTTGATCTGTTCTTTTTCTTGTGTTATTCCTACATATTATCATCACATTCAGAAATTTTCTTTTTGTCCCCTATAGTTTTGCAGTCTCCCAGTGGATGTTAGTGCTTTTCTCGATTCTGTCATTTATCACAGAATCAAGAAAAGCACAAACATCCGTATTCAGTGTCTAAATTCAAATCTGATAAAACTTTGTTCTGATTCGGTTTGAAGTAAATATAATCTCCACTGGTCATGAACAACACAGCTATCCACTTCAGTTCTTGCGGCTGTCCTTGACTAACCAGACTGCATGATGCCTATTTATAGAACAAAGGGGAATTACAGTGGTATCATTCATACAGTGAACTGTTTATCATTCGCTATGTAGCAGTCATAACACACATATTAGAGTCAACATCATGTCTCAAAGTTGAAGATTCTCCACGTGTCTTCTCGTGGTTACAAATTCCAATCTAGAAGCAGCACTGGTCAGAATATGCCACAAGAGAATCGACTTTTCGTTTTATTAGCATGCGGGACAGCACACAGTATTGATGTAACATATTTAGTTCATAAGAATTCCCCAAGGCAGAGGTAGGTTTGTATGGTAACAGCGCACCAAGTGTTGAAGTAGAAAACTTTTTCAAATAATTCAAAGTTCAAAATGGGACAGTGAATATACAAAATGATAGCCTGAAATTTTCTCTTTAATTTCGTACCAAAAGAATTATTTTACATGAAAAATTACAGTTCAAAATACAAGCTGAGACTTAGTGCTGCACTACACATGCCGGGTACAGACTTCGGCGACATGTGATAGAAGCCGCTGGCGTACCATGCACAGACTACGGTGCTGAAGGGTTAATGAAATGTTCAAGTTTTATAACAAATCTAGTGATATCTGCAGAATATGAGAATGTGATCTGCATTATCATAGTAATTCATTAACTGAAACCTGAATTATGGAATCAGATCTTTCCAGCTGTATGAGATGAAAAGTAGCGATATGGACAGCCTGGTTATGCGCTATTGACATGTACTTGGTGTCATCAGTGCTCTGTCAACAAATAAAGAAGGGGCATATGCAAGGTGATGACAAGTGGGAGGAGACTACTTGAAACAAGTAATTTTCAGCTAAATTTAAAACAGGGAGAAAGAAACTGTCTGTATTGTGAACTACAACAGTAACAGGTTTGGTGTTGGCAAGTCAGCTCAGATGATCAGGCCAATCAAGAAAATTCAGATGCTCTTATGAGAGTGTACTTACTTTGAATCATATGACCATCATCCCTATCTTGTTTAGGTTTGATATTTTTAATAACCTTGTATATTCATAAATATATATATTAGTTTAGTTTTTGTATATTTTGTTTGCTGTTTTTGGTTTCTGAACTGTACTTTCTAGATGTCACTTTTGTAATTGTGTTGTTATATGTATCATATTTTAAATATGGATCTGTTATAGAATTAAAATATTATTTATAGAAATGATTGAATATCCATTCATTCATCAGTAATCTGTCAGACGAGAGGTCCACAGTCTCTTCCAAAACACTTCCTCCACTTAATGCGATCTAGAGCTTTCTCCTTCAAATGAGAATATCCTCTTCTGTCCCCAAGGTTATCCAACATCTTCTTACATCTTCTCCCTCGTCTTCTGGTCACTTCTATCCGCCCCTCTATCTTTCCTTCGGTAACTTCTTTTAGGAGGCAGTTACTGCGTAAGATATGACCAGTCCACATAATCGGTCCAACTGATCTTCTCCATCCTTCTCCAACACCACATTTTGAAGCTTTCCAGGTGTTTCTGATCTACTGCCCTAAGTGTCCAAGTTTCAGCCCCATACAAAGTCCTGCTCCAAATGTAGCATTTCACTAGTTTCTTTCTCAAATTTAAGTCCAGTTTGCTGGTAAAAAGATTCTTCTTCTTGCTAAATGCAGCTTTTGCCATGGCAATCTTAGATTTAATTTCACAAGTACACCTTCCATCATCTATTAACAAGCTACCCAAATATTTAAAACATTTCACATTCTCCAGTTGTTTTTGGTCTATCTTTATTGTGATTGGGGTTGGTTGTCTCGAAATTTTCATTACTTCGTTTTTTCCACATTCATTTCCATGTCAGAGCACCTTCCAACTTTGATTAGTCTATCAAGTGTAGCACAGTTTCTTCCTTAGCCATTAACACCAGGTCATCTGCATATTTCACAGTTTGAATAATTTGCCCTCCTAATTTGAAGTCTCCAAGCCCATCCAGAGCTTCTTTGGTAAGGCATTCGCTGTACAAGTTGAACAAAATTGGTGATAAACTGCATCCTTGTCGAACTCCTCTTCCAGTCTTCACACTTCTTGTCTCCCCTCTGTCCAGTCACATTCTAACTTTCTGATCCATGTACAGTTTACTAATCAATCTTCTTTCACGCCAGTCGATACCTGTTTCCTTTAGGATCTGCATTAATTTGGTCCAATTTACACAGTCAAATGCCTTCTTTCATGCCACTTCTCATACTATTTATACCATTTTGAACACCCCTATAATCACATCTTTATGAAGCGGTTATATTTTAGTCAGAAACATGTTTAGTAACAATCTTGAACCATTGTATGTTAATATATTACCAACATAACTATCATTTCTTTGCAGGAGCTAAAATTGCTCCAGATGAGTTTATTCAGCCTGAGTTAGCAATGGATTATGACGGGAAGCGAGACAGGTGGAGTGGCTATGACCCATCTGAACATAAAGCGATTGTTGAGGAATATCAGAAGATTGAAGAAGCAAAGCGACACCTGAGAGCAGAGAAGTTGAACTCCACTGTGGATGACAATGTTGAGGTATTGAAACTTTGTTTTTGTTGGAACATTTGAATTTCTTAGTGAACATAGTAAGAAACTTAGTCAGTGTATCTTACAGATGTAAATTATTCTTCTGTACTCCCAGCAGATAGTCTTGGAGGGCAGTTAACAGTTAAAAGGAATGTTCATTTTATATTATAATTAGATTTCACTTATGCATTCTTTACATTGTTCTTGAATATCCCCCCCCCCCATTAGAAGGTATGTATTTCATGAAAGCAAGGCACGCTACCATCTTTGAAGCAAAGATGTTTTTCAGCAGCAAAGTATAACGTTTTTCTGTCTACTGCAGACTCTATGTATATTTAGTTTGCCTTAATCACAGCAATGATGACTTTTAATTAAATTTTCTAATTAATTTTCTGGCTACATATTTTTTGTTAATTTTGGATAAAGTATCCTAAAACAGTTATTAAGAAAAGTATTTTTTAAGCATATACTGTTTACATAAGAAATTATAGTAAGAGTCAGCGTTAATAAAATATATGCCTGTTAATATCTGCTAAGTAGACGTCTCACATTCTTTTATGACTGTCAACATTATAGACACTCTGAAATATTGAATAATATAGGGTATATATTCATTACAGCCAGAGGAGGTAGACAAAGAAGATGAAGACAAATATGTGGATGAGGTGGATATGCCTGGAACTAAAGTAGACAGTAAACAGCGAATCACAGTGCGTAATCTGAGGATACGGGAAGATACAGCCAAGTATCTGCGTAATTTGGATCCAAATTCAGCTTACTATGATCCCAAGACCCGTTCCATGAGAGACAATCCACATGCTAATTCGTCACTTGGTGATCAAGAGTATGTATTTACGTTAATTACAGATTTGTTTTCATATCTCGCTCACTAAATGGTTGCTGAGCTGTATGCACCGTCTCCTTCTGGATATCTAGCACTTATTACGTCCAAGACAGGAGCGGCGCAACGTCAGGGGCTCTCATGTTATGTTCACAATGCTCCCTATGTGTAGTAGGGACTCCAAGCCACAGCAGGGAGACACTTCCAATCGACAAGACTAGTTCACCATAATAAATTAATTTAATAAGAGAAACACAATAAAACAGAATACGACAAATAGAACTTAATAGAAGGCGTGGGCCCAAAAACACACAACCTGTGACCACATCTGTCAGTTACTTTACTCTTGCCTTAACTGCGGCATCAGACTACACTTAATAGCCCACGCTCACTGCTTATTACTCTTGTTTACAATCATGCTACTTCAGCAGGCACAAAATAATGTTAACAAATATTCCTTGCCCACAGGCGATTCCTAGGAAAGAAAACACAATGACGTAACGTTAAATTAAAACCCATCACTCTGCCACACAATAACTTATAATGCAAGCAAAACCCCCGACGTGCGTTGCCAGCACAACCTCCCAGACATAATTTAGAATGCCTTCCGAAACCGAATTGGAAAAAAAAANTAAATCTCATTGGTCAGAAATAACTGCAGAAATCGCAAATTATCAGCCAGACTCCTTGCAAGTTGGTGTTTTTCAAAGAGACAGCACCCCCCCCCAAAAAAAAAATTGACGAATTGGTTGATTACTGATCTATTCAGAGTAGATTGTGAGAATGTTAGTATCTCTTGTTTCTGTTTCCTTGGAATAATGGCTTTTAGCCTACTTTCCTTATTCTGAAGAAATGAAAGGAGGCTTATGAGATCACTTTGCTCTCTCTCTCTCTGCATTCCCCTTTATTGTTGCTAGGCAACAGCTCAGTAAACATGTTCACATAGCAGTGAATACACACCCAGCAATAGAAGAACTGTTGGATGTGTTGCTTTCTTTGCATTGAATGTTGTATCAAAGGACAGTAGTGATTTAGTTCTTCCCAGAACTTCTTGTTAAATATTTGTTAATTCTTGTCAGTAAAAATGAATCACTTGTGCATTTCAGTGTTGATTATGCGGGTGAGAATTTTGTGCGATTCTCTGGAGATACCCAGAAGCACTCTGTGGCACAGCTGTTTGCATGGGAAGCATATGAGAAGGGAGTTGATGTGCATCTGTTAGCAGAGCCCACAAAGCTGGAGATGCTTCAAAAGGAATATGAAAAGAAGAAGGAACAGTTCAAGAGTCAAGTGCAGGAGAGCATCCTTCAGCGCTATGGAGGGGATGAGCATCTCCATGCTCCTCCCAAGCCTCTGTTGCTCGCACAGACAGAGAACTATGTGGAGTACTCTCGCTATGGCAAGGTTATCAAGGTGAGGGTGGAACTCATCACCACGGTTGTGACAGAAGTGCCATGTAGATATTGTGTTAACCGACGTTTCGGAGGAACATATCGCCTGCATCTTCAGGGTAGAAGAAAAGAGAAGAAAATCTACAAGTACCTGCTCATGCTGGTTCCTCACTCACGGATTTTCCTATTTTTTCTTCTACCTTGAAGAGTGAGGTGATACGTTCCTCCAAAACATCAGTTAACACAATATCTACACAGCGCAACATCCCAGAAGACTGCTTTCTTCCTGCGACGTGTTATGTATTTTTCTTGAGGCAATCAGGATCTCTTTCCCACTGTGGTTTATATTCAAGCTTCTTTGGTATTCTGTTTGTCTTTACTGTGTGTGCTGCATAACCATACCATCTCTTTGGTCCATACACTTCTGAAGTGCAGATATATTATACTGCAGGCAGTTCTGTGATAGCCTTTAATTTTCTTTACATGTATATCTGGAACATTTAATTTTCCCTGATTTGTGTGTTTTGTTGTTGATCTTCTAATACCCAGCCTCCAGTATTTCAGTATCTAATAGAGTTCTTACCGTATTACTGTATCTATGGAAAATACAGATTGATAAGTGTTATAAATTCTATTTATGGAAACAAAAAGTTTATTCTTTCTGTACATTGATCAGAAAGAATGTCTGTTCAGGGTGCATTGATGGTTGTCAATAGACAAGAAATCAGTGCTCAGTACCATATGCAGCACTGCGTTGATTTGTGGCTGTTTGCCATCAGGTCATATAGATGATTTGAAAAGTTCTTATCAGTGTTCACAGAGCTGTCCAACAGATGTCATTTAGAGGTATTCAGAACCTTTAGAAATCTTAGCAATTTTGTAGAGATAAAACATATATTGACTAGGAGTGCTGTAGGTCTTAGTAAATTGTTAATTCATGATTGCATTGATTCTGACCTGATGTGATGTGTGCATAGGGCCAAGAAAAACAAATAATCCGGTCCAAATACGAAGAGGATGTGTACCTCAATAACCACAGCTCTGTGTGGGGTTCGTACTGGCACAATGGACATTGGGGATATAAGTGTTGTCACTCCTTTATGAAGGTAGGTGTCCATGTTAGGGTGTAATATATATTACAAGCTCTTAAGTAATATGAATGATAAAATATTGTTTTGGATTGTGTGTACAGAACTCTTACTGTGTGGGTGAAGCAGGGAAAACTGCGTCATCAGTTCATGATGATGGATCACATGCTGGGACATCCAGTGAAGCTTCTGGTAATCATGGAAAGGAATCCAGCATTTCTTCGGAGAGTTCAGCTTCCTCATCTGAGGTAAGTGGTCATGGCTCATTGATGTTATTGAAGAGCACTTGCCAGATTGATATTCAGAATCACATGTGAAAATGCAGCTTGTGTTGTTGTCAGTTGTGCAAAGGTCAGATAGTTGTTGTTTCTTATTCCTGAATAAATGCCATCACCATTTCCTAATAATTCTTCCTGCCATTCAGAAGTATACGGTTTGGGCTACTGACAGTATTGTGAACCATAAGACATAAAGTAAAACACAAATTCTTTCATTGATCAGTTTCTTCATTTTGGAAAAATGGCATCTTATGAAACTCATTTATTTAAATTTGATTTGTTTCATTCTGGTCCATCACACTAACAATCACAAATATAAATCACTCCGTCCAATGTGACCTGTAAGTTTATTACTACATGAAAACAGCTAGTGAAAACAGCACAGCAGCCACGAGCAAACCCTGGAAGATATAAAGAACCTCCACATCAAGATAGCCAGGTGGCACAATATCTGCCCCATACAAGAGGGACGATGGGAGGACAAACACGAGCCTGCATGGTTTATGAATTTTAATTATTGACAATGCAAAAAAAAAAANGTACTTTACGTCTAAACAACTTATGTGAAGGTGGTTTCCTATTTGTAGTGATGTTTGCCCTCTGAAGATGGTCCGCAGAGACCGAAACATGTAAGGGTGTTAAGTTTTTCATATAGTAATAAACTTACAGGTCACATTGGACGGAGTCATTTATATTTGTCTCGTTTATTTATTTATGGAGTAGACTTGCTGTTTTATCAGATTTGAGGTTCTCACAGTAATGTTGATTGTGAAGAGTACTCTTTTATGGGATATCATACTGGATAGTTTGGTGTAAGTTTGCTGATATTCATCCAAAACACTACCAGACTACACAGCATAATATCCCAGAAGATAGCACTCTTCACACAGAGACGATGTAGTAGGTGACTCTTATTATAGGGTTAAAATGAATGGAAATTTTGGTGTTTCTATAACAGATTCTTCTCTTACAATAATATGATAAATAGTAGGCACATGCAAGAACAACTTTTTCAATTCAAGGCAAAAATTTTGAAAAAATTTTGAGAAACAAAACAAGCTAGAATTTTCTGTAAGTATAAAGGTAAAGAGCTCTCCCTATAACAGGCTGTGAACGCCCATAGGTTGTGAGACATCAAGGCTCACACATTTTCTCTAGACATTCGGCTCACAAATGGCGAGACAGTTGTCAGGCTTATGTGCTGGCCATCTTTTACCTACCAGGAAGGTTCCTCGTACTCACTCCTGCTAGAGGCTGAGTCGACCCCAGGGCCACAGTGTGGATAGAAGGATTAGGTACCTTGAAAATAACCCACCTCATTGGAACTCGAACCCATGACCTTTTTGGCTTCTAGCATAGTGCTTCAACCAGCTATGCTGCCATGTGCCCCTAGAACTTCTGTACTAGATCAAATGTTTCATTTTGCTCACAGTGCATAACAAGCCTCAGTTTCACAATATACTTAAGCGTTCTGCTCGTCTCTTTTCATATCAGCTCCTTAAGTGAACAATTTTGAAATTATTGCATTTAAAAAAACGAATTCTGGGGATATGCCCTTTTTTCACCATTGGCAGAAGGGGGAGGGAGAGAGAGATGCTTTGTTGACAGGATGATTCATATTAATGTTGTCAACCATTATGATACAGACAGAGCCGGTTTGCATGCTTCCATGCAAGCAAAAGCAATTATCTGAAAATTCTAAGTGTTGTGAGAATGTAAAATCAAATTTCAAGTAGAGTTTGAGATTTTTTCTTGAGACATGCACATGCCTAATATAATTTTATTGTTTTGATTTGTAGGATGACTCAGAATATGAGAGACAAAGAGCATCTGCATCTGAGAGCAGCAAGAAACAGAAGAAAAAGAGGAGGAAAGAAAAGAAAAAGAAACAAAAAAGAAAGAAGAAATGTCAGCCTAAGGAAGAAAGTTCAGAGGATAAACTGAAAGCTGTAAGTATTGTTATTACACAAGACTGTACATCTGTGATGTTAATAAGAAATCTGTCATCTTCATATCTTGTCATCTCATATCTGCAGGCATTGGAGAAAGAGGAACTCCAGCAGAAAGAGGCTAAATGTATCCTTGCTATGGATGAGAGGAAACGGCCTTACAACAGCATGTTTGAAGTTAAGAAACCGACGGATGAAGAGATGGAAGCATATTACATGAAGAAGAGACGAGAAGAGGATCCTATGGCTCAGTTCATGGGCTAAGCAGATCGTTGTGTGAATAGCCCAGTTACAAAGGAAAATATTTTGAAACAGTGATAGAAAAAGAAATTGCTTTTAATTTGCAGAATAGACAAATTCATGTTTTACCTACACAATCTGATTTAGCTCAGTCAGTATAGTGACTAGGCTATTGGTTCAGTTCTCTGTGGGTTTAGAAAGTTTTTCTTTCTCTCTTTCCCTGTGAGTAAAGGAGCCAGGACATGGAGCGCAGTACCGACCTGCATCTAGTGCCAAGGGTAAGGATGTGGAGCTGTGTGGAGGGCAATTAATTAAGCACAGGGACAGCTATCTTTGCCCTCATTCAACCTAATTGGCACAGTACGTTAAATTACTGATTATCTGGACTATCTGTTATATAATGTAAACAACTGAAGGCGATGTTTTGGAATGCTAGATGCCATCTTTAGAATTGACATGTGAAATATGTATGGACATAATGAGTGTCCCAGTAGTTCTGCAGACCTAACAAGTTTTGCTACTGGAAAATGATATCTGGTTTGCCCATCGTAAGAGGCAGAATAATGCATTGGTTAAATAAAGTTATTATTTAAATAAATAAATAATAATAAACATGCAATACATTATGATGTAAAATGCAGAAGAAACTTTTTGCTGTTTCACATTGTTGATAGAGGTAACTTAGGTGAACTCATCTTTGAAATATCATCCAAACCTGAAAAATGGTCATCAGGTTCATGCTCTTGTTGGTTCTCAGAAGTCACAGATTCCCATTCTTTGCCAGAGAGTTTGTTTAGGAAGTATTTTAAATCTTTTGAGTTCTGTTTTAAATGTTTTATTTTGTTCAGTTTGAAGGTACCCATCTTGGCATACCAGAATAATCTGTACAAATTGCTTTGGCCAAACTTGCAGTGAATTTCATGAGTGACAAGAGGAAGACCTGATGGTTAAGATATTGGGTGCATGATCCTCTTGGTAGCTGCAAGTTTGTAGTGCCAGTTACCCAGATTATTTTAAAGGCTTTTTTGCACGTCTGAGTTAACATTAATTGAGTTACTTCATGTGCACATTACAGAATGTTTTGTTGTTAACTGCTTTTTGTTACCTGGAGATCTGTGATGTGCCAGGGTTTCAGCAGTACATGTTTTAACTTCTTACAAGGTATGTACATAGCTTCCATGATTCTTTTGTGTGTAAAAGTTACTTTTTCTCATAGATATATGTATTTTTATCGAAGGATGGCTAATGTGATTGTAATTATGATAGGAAAGAGCTTCTTGATTGTAGCATCACAGCAATTTCAGCCAAGGGCAAGAAAATCTTTAACCACTATATGTGGTTACATATATGAACTTTTTTTTGGTAAAACTTACACAGTTTGATATTACAACATTTCAAAAAATATGTTATGTTTCTCATTTACAGCTAATGAAGTTTTATTTTTTCCACGTATCGGGCATAAATGCGCAGAATGCAGTAATAATTAATTGTGAATTACACTGATGTGTTTTCAGTTTGAGAAATGATAAATCATTGATTTTCATGAAGTGGACAAAGTATTCTAAGCATAAGGACACTTGGCATGACCTACAGTCACTGCTGATCACTTTGAATGTTTTTGTGGGGCTGCAGTAAGCATATCTTCTACCAGTTTTTTTTTGTTTAGAACTTGATGTAAATTATAGCGTATCTAATTTATGTCCTTTTATTGATCACATTTTATTAAAACCCTGACATTTTCAGTCATAGAAGACCACCTTCATGGGGTGTACCATGTTAAAGGGAAACTTTTGCAATTTATATACTCATATTTTTTCAGTTGACCTAATCCTTGCAGCTGCATTATGGCCCTGGGGTTAACTCAACTTCTAACAGAAATGAGTACCAGGAATATTCTTGGAATGTTCATTGGGGAAAGGGGGGGCCAGCACATAGGGCTGACATCCTTGCTGCCATCTATCAGCCAATTGTCTAGAAAATGTGGCAACCTCATCTCACAACCCTATGGGCCTCCATGGTCTGTTACAGGGATACCTTTACTTACTTTTATATAAAAAATAAAATTAACTGAGTTACAAGTATGGCATATATATATATATTAGTTTGAATAGTATTTCTATTTTTTGTTGGAAATTTAAGACACTGTTTTAAATTTTTTATGTCTATGTTTGTGAAATATAAAGTTTGCCTTAATTTGGAAAACCTCTTGAAGATGGTCTTTGTGACTGAAACATGTTAGGGTTTTGACATGTAATTAGTATACAGAAATAAACAAGATATACTTAAATGGTAATTTGTGTCATTGTATAAAATAGCCAGTTACCTTTTGTGATTAAGTGATCATTGATGTATCATATTTTTTTGACAGCTGTCCCTTTTTTTTTTTTTTTTTTTTTTTTTTTTTGTTTTTTTTATTTTGGNCCTTGCCCTAAGATATACTAAAGAATCTTGTGGTATGATTAGCAAGCACATGCGTTTCTTTGTGGTTGGAAAGCTGTAATTTTTTGTTTTGTGCAATAAGAATTAATTCATAATAGCAGCATCAACCAGGAAATACTTATCCATCATTTCCATGGCTTCCAAGAAATGGAGTATTATGCAAGTAGGTTATGAAAGTGATCAGTCTCTGTCATTTGCTTATCATACTCAGGGACACTTTTTGTACATAGTACAGTTCCTTGTCTCCTGTTCTAGGTAGTGATATTTTTCTTTTATTCCCGTTGTCCATGTAAAAAACTGCAACTGGATTTTTTTGCCATGCATTTCTGCTTGCTGATACTTCACATGCTACTGAATAGACCATTTTACTAATTTAAGTTTCCTGTCTCACATGATATTTCCTTAAAGGATAATTTTCTCCTTTAAGGAAATATCATGTGATATGTGCAAATAGGCCTTTAGACAGAAATTCCTTTTTAGAGGTCCATGAAGTCCCAGTCTACTTTTCTAGAAGAATATAGATGAATCGTCAGATTGTTCCTTCAATGGTGAGCAAGATGATATACAAGTAAGTGCCTGAGACAGGTTCATTAATATTTTTACTCTCAAATCCAAGGTATGTTAAAAATAGCCACTAAAGATAAAGCCATCCCTGTAACAGGCCGTGGAGGCCCATAATGCTGAGAGACTTCAAGATTCCTACATGTTCTGGACACTTGGCTCACAGATGGCAGTGAGGTCAGGATTATGCACTGGCCACCCTTTGCCCCCAGGAAGATTCCTGGTACTCATTTCTGTTAGAGGCTGAGTTGACCCCTGCACTGTAGTGCAGCTGGAAGGATTAGGTCAATTGAAAAATCCAATGACCTCATCAGGAATCAAACCTGTGACCTTCCAGCTTGTAACATAGTAAAAAATAGCAAGTAAAGAGTTGAAAGGAAGGTAAAATTGCAGCAGAACATTTCTTCATCTAATGTAGTTATATATTTACTCATCATCTTTTATATTTCAAATTCTAGTTATATGATTTAGTGTTAATATAGATTGTATATTGTGAGAACGGTTTTGTCAATTAGACTCTTGTGGGATGTGACACCTTGTAGTCTCAGAAGTTTACCACTGTTTCAGGAGATGTTGGTGATGTAATGCCATGTAGTCTGAAATGCTCGTACCATTTACCAGACATTGTGGCAACATATCCCATAAGATATTTATATTTCAGATTCTGATTATTTTAATTGGCTGTTAGTGTAGACTGCATATTGCTAGAAAAGTTTTGTCAACGAAGAATACTGTTTTGTGGTACGTGATGTCTGGTAGAAGTTCACCTATGTTCCTTAGATAATGTCAGTAAAAGTTTGTCTTCTTCTGAAATGCTAACAAATTTCTGCCAGACTACTGGGCCTGACATGCAAGAAGATAGTATTGTCATGGTCATTACTGTGAGAATATCAGATCTGAAATTATTGTCTCTATTTGTGTGATGTGGGAGAGACTAACATTTTTTAGAATCTTGATTATCTGTCTCTATCACCATTTTGAGTTGTGAATTCCCAGCAGCAGTATGAGTAGCTGTGACATTGTTTTGTTCAGCTGTAGGACTATGAAGGATTTAATGTAAAAAGTGTCTGGGATAATAAAAATACTTAAAGCATAGGTGAATAAAGACTGTCTTTGATTTATTGGCTAATTTTAATTTGTTCTGATCGATGTCTGTGCCTTCTGTTTAAACTGTCCCATTACATAGTTACAAACAGGGCCCCTGCATGGGGTGTACAGGTGTGTACATGTGGAGGAAGTGTCAGCACTTGCAATAATACCAAACAGTAGACCTGTACCTACAGTATGGGTGCAGGAAGATGAACTGACATTTCCATTATGACAAATTCAGCTTCATCATGGCCTTCAGCAACAGGTGGAAGATGATCTTATGTTGGATAGGATAATAATCTGTTAAAAGGATGTGACACCACCACAGACCTTAAAGCAAATGGAAGAATCTCATTCAAAATATTACCTGCTTTCATATCCTAAACACACATTACTTACTTCACGTCTTAAATACATAAGTGTCTTCACTTTGAAATATCGATTATTGAGACAAGAGAATGCAGAATGTACCATCAGATTCTTAATTACTTTAAGAAAAAGTATGGTAAAGTGACAATTAATTTAATAATCTGCTGGAGATGGTAATCAGGACATAAATATAACATTGGCTTGTGTATCTCAGAATTAGGCAGCTCATCAGCAATATGAAAGGATAACTAATGTCTGAATAACTTTTAAGGTTAAGTTCCCTAAACGCCAACTTATATAGTGAGTAGTAGTAACCAATGTTAGAAGCGTGTAAAGGTTTGCCGATAAAGCAGGCCGCGTCTGACTGGTGGTCATTGGGGTCATGATCGTCATCGTCGTCATGGTTACGTTGAGGCGGTTGTGGCGAAAATGGCGATTTTGTATCCGGGTATTAGGATACCGAAGGAGGTATAAGCAATAGTCTACGGTAGGAGGTCGATAACCAGAATGTAATGAACACATGAGTGCTGTACTCTGGCGGCGTTCATCACTAACTCCAGAATGTGTTTCAATTGTTATAGTCTAGTGCAGCACTCTGATGGTCCTCTTGTCAACTACATGTACAAATTTTCTTCTTTCTTCTTCTTGTAAATTGCTCATGCCAGTTTCGACTAAATGCACCCTAAGCTGTGTTCGTGTGTTTTAATTTCGTTGGGTGGGCTGCGATAGAGTCCACTTGGTACGTCGACCACTAATTGGCGTATTGTGCCAACCCCAGATGATAGATGAGTATTTGGTGATATGAGAATGGGTAGGGAAAACCGAAGTGCTCGGAGAAAGCCTGCCTCAGTGCCACTTTGGCCATCACAAATCTGACATGACTTGACCTGGGATTGAACTCGGGAAGCCGGCGGCTAACAACTCTCAGCTACTTAATTAATTACCTTTCTTGCTCTGTACTATATCTGTATAATCTGACGATAAAGTTAATATTAATATAAATATCGTAGTTGCCTGTTTCCATGCATTTCTCTAGGCACACTGAGTATGAATTCGGTGTTACGTGTTGTCAGCAGTCTCAGCAGGAATGCAATATCTGTTTCTCTATTATGAATAATGAGTCTGCATTTCCCGAGTCAATCTCGGTAAAGGTTCGGCCACACAGAGCGCTACGTACGCTATGTTCGCTATACGAACAGAAAAATATCTCCCTTTATTGCCAATGTGACTGGCCACACAGACTTCCGCACGCTACGTACGCTATGTTCCCTGTGTTAGCTGCGTCGCAGAGTGTACACAGCGTACGAAGCGAACATAGCGTAGCGCTCTGTGTGGCCGAACCTTAAGACTACGATGTCTGTTTCTAGCAGGCACTCTTACTAGAAATTCAGTATCTTTGCGTTGATTGCAACATTCTCCATAAAAGGTAGTGTCTATAAAATTACGCTATGTGCTCGTACCTCACCATGATTTTCACGTAATTTCGTGTTATGCATTGCTCAAGAATGCGTTGTCTGCAAGTTTCGTTGTGGCTTTCTGGCAGTAATCCATATATAAGTGATCGATAACATTATATTGGCTTTTTAGATTTAGGTTGAGGTTATGAGTTGGAGGGAATGGCAGTAATTGTAAATTTCGTGTTTATGTGAAAGTTATGGACCGTCAGATTCTTTAAAGCAAGTTCTTGGTTGTGTGAAAGGTTACCATTGCACAATGGAGTCCCACAGACAACATCTTGCAAATCCGTCACACTGTTTAGTAATCAAAATGCAAAATTGTCATTGCGCTATAATTTTTGACCCCATGACAGAAGCTGTCGAAGTTGGTTTCTGTCAAGTTTGATAATATTTGTTTTCTGTTTATGTTTTTGTCGTTACAAAGTTCATGTTAGGACTTGATCTGCAAGGATGTTGGAACAAAATAACGTTCATTTTTGTCACAGCATCGGAATTCACGACATTTATGATTAAAATAAATAAATAAAAATAGGATGAAACGACGAGGTATGTAGTATTCTGGAGGTAGAATCCGACATTTGAAACGTTTTAGAGGAAAAATACCTCATTTTCTCCGCAGTTTCCACGATAGTTTATAAATTAAATCCGTTGAAATTTAAGAGTCGCCAGACTTAAGTACGAAGAGTGGTCCACAGTTAATGAGACATACAGAATATAACCAGAGCTTCAGTGTGTTTATTTATTTACCGACGCAGTCAGTAGCTCGGTCAAATGACAGGATCATTAATGAACGGTGAATTGGAAAGGGCATCGAAGGAAGCGGTTGAAGCCTATTTGAAGGTAGAATCCCACCATTTGTCTGGGCAGACCTAGATAACCACAGAAACATCAGCCCAGATACTGGGTGTCCCAAACGAGATCACATCCGAGATAGAAGCGATACCACTGATCCAAATTGCTCGGTGGTT